GGGGGTGTGAGGGGGAGAGGAGAGCTGCAGAGAAATTGAGTTCTTCTCTCTCTCTCTCTCTCTCTCTCTCTTTCTCAGCACACAATTTCGACCAACCGACTGTAATTAAGACGAATGTGGGATGCGCGTCCGCACAGAATGAGCAAAGCGCCCGGATTGGTGCACACAGGGAGAGCTCCGGGCCACTGCAAAGACAATTTGCCCGCATTGCATCACGGACACGACACCCGGTATCCCGCTGTTTCCCTCCCACTTCATCCGCAGCCGATCGGGTCTCAGTCGCGTGGTATGGTGCAGTTTGTGGGACCAACAGTCCAATAGTCGCTGTGGCTGTGACAGGCAGCCTGTTGCGGCTCCGGCTCTCTGCTCAGGAGCCGGTAATTACGCACCGAGCTGACAACTTTGGCGCTGTGCTTTATGGATTGCGCATCAGCAACTGTGCAATCATTGGGACCTAAACTGATCTCCTTGAAGTGGCCATTCCTGGGAGTCGTTCTCCTCAGTCGCAGCCTGCTCACATCATCGATTAAGTTTTCAGAGCAACCAGTGGCTGTGTGTCCTTTTACTGCAGACATGATTCCGCCGAGGCGCAATAAAAGGAGACATCTGACGGTCCTAAATCTGTAGCCCCGGGAGAAAACAAGACAGCAGAGTGTGAAGAGCAGCCCCTGGAGAAACCGTGAGTATTCCAGGTCCTGACTAGATGCATGACTGTGGCTTTCCTCTCGCTCTAACATCAGAAATGCATGCGCATCTCTCCAACTTTGTCCACGTCAGGCTCAAGGGCAAATGGTAAATGAAGGTCTGATAGGAGACTGTGCGGTCCTTCCTCTGTTCTGATGTCATTTTGAGGTTATAATCTATTACCTGCAGCCTGGATTGACAACAGGGAATTTACCTCCTGCAGAACAGAAAGGGACACAGGTGGTTGTGTCTCTTAATCTGTCCTTGATATATATACTGTTGAAGTAAAATACCAGCCACTGTGTAAAAAAAGATTTCTTTTTGTGTATTTTAGATTATTCTGAGAAAGGTCATGTCAGGGCATGACACAATCCCAGGTGTCAGAAAGTAAAGGCTTGCTAGGTGGACCACTCAGAGCAGGGCTTTTTAAACTCATTTTCATCATGTATGGTTGTCCTTGAGTGACTGGTCCCACCTGGAAGACTGTATAATTGTAGCTACTCCATATCATACTGACAGTATACTGACTCATATCTATTTAGGACACAAATATTGTAATCCTTATGTGTTCTGACCATAATCTTTCTAATTTATAAGGCAACATAAAAGTATATAAATAAAAAACAACACTGTCACTGACAAATGGATGCACACGTCCCAGCAGGTGGCGCACACGACATATAATCAGTTCCACGCAGTTCCATGAACACATAGCTACACAAATTGACTAAAATTATGCATAATTGGCCAGTTGGGCCACAAATTATTGGAGGGGCCAGATCAGGCCCACAAGCCCTGAGTTTAACATCCTGAGAGTTATTCAGTTAAATTAGTCCACATTTTAATTTGGACTTGTGAGAGGAGACTGGGGCTAAACACACACCTGAACACACACCTACACAGATGAGTGACCGTCCTACCCTGAGGCGATTGTACATCATCACAGTGTGGCCTGGGACATGTTAATAGTTAAATGTTATTTCAGTGTTCAGGATAAAAATAGCTCTCCTTGAAAAAAACAAAACAGCATTATATTCTGAACCTGAACATCTACCAATCCATACAAACACACACTAAAAGCTTGACACGATCTCATATCACATTATCAACGTCGTTGTCTCGTCTTTCTGTAATAATAATGCCAACCTCCCTGCAGACCAGACCAGACCAGACAAAAGTACTTCCTGTGAAGACTGAAGGATGTGGGTCAGTGTGCTGCTGGTCGTGACAGCAGGGCACCGACTTCCTTAGCTGCTGGGCCAACAGCGTTTGTGTCTGGGTCTTGCCTGATTAGGAGGTGGTGACACTCCAGTGTAGTGTTATCCTTCTACACAATGATAATTTGATGTGAGGACATGTTTTAGGCACAAGGTCAACGCAACCCAGACGTGAATGAACAATGATGCAGCTTTTTGCAGAGCATGCTGCTCTGCTGTCTAGATTTATGTATTTCTCAGAACACCCTGCCAGAGGCTTTTGTTTTGTCATTTTGCTAAGCTTCGTCAGTGCACTCTGCCATAATTTCTCCGCTTTCTGACTCCCACTTGATTTCTTTGATAGATCTTCAAACTTGGATCTAGTGTGGATTTCCCAAAAGGACTCTCTCCCTGACCTTTACAGCCTTAATTAAGTTATGGAAAAGCTCAGTCATTTTGTTCACTGTCCTTCACTTATTACACATCACAGGCTTAAAAAAAAAGAACTCAGTTCCAACTCAGTTCCAGTAGGTGGTGGTATACCTTCTGCACTATATTTTCCTCAGATTTTTTGTTGCAAGACTTTAACGTTGCCAACCTTACCTAGCTCACACATGTGGTTCTAATTGTTTTAAAAGCTGAATAGCTAAATAGGTTAAATCAACCAAAAATGATCCGTTACAGTCCTGACATTTCAGCTATGTGTAACACCAGCTTTTATTTTGTGAAATGTCTACCCATTAAACTAAAGTGAATGTAATGTGATTTGACCAGAGAGAGAGTCCTGGACATCCCAGAGTTTAATCCCTTTAAATTTCACATCCTGCTGAATGCACAATGACCTTGTGATTGGTTGCTGTCCGTCCAGTACCCTGGTACCCTGCCTCTTCTCAAGGTTTAGCTGGGATTAACTTCCAAAGAATGCAAAATAATCCAAAGAATATGTATTCAAGTACAGGGTGAATGAAAATGCACTGGTAAACGTAACGGTTGTTAAGAAAAGAGCAGGAGATGTTATCTTTCAGGTGCGAGTGGTTCTTGGCTTCACGTATTTCACACCAAAAGAATAAATGCCAAGATTTAACACCAGTGAAAAGCTGCCAACCACAAGATGAACTAAGTGGAATAAACATCAAGGTGTGAGGGCTGTCTACAAACATCTGTCATTTGATAGTTTGAAAACAACCTCAGATTTGCAGTTTCCTGTAGGACAATATTTTACTGTTCAGTACTTTGGTGATGCTGGCAGCTGACTGACATTTTCATTGTTGTCAAAACTTTCTTTCTTGGCATTTAAACTACAGGATTAAGAGACCAAAAAGAGACAGAGACAAAGAAAATATGGCTAGATGAAATTAAAGGCTGTTTTTTTTTTTGTTTTGGGGTTTTTTTTGCACTTTTCATGGCCTTTTTTTATCCTTCAGTCTATCTTTCCATCTCTCAGTTTTATTCTTTACCCAGAAAGCCATCATATTTATTGCCTTCATGCTTTCCCCTGTCAGATTACTGTTTTTAAAGTGGTATGACATATTTCACACTTGAGGTTCAGTTAGCCATATGTTTACTTTAGAAATGTAATCGTATAAAACTTGTCTCTACCTGTCTCGACTTTTCTTAGTCTGTTTCACACTTTTTTTGCATTGTCATTTTATTTATTATTATTAAGTTAATAAGTTAAACAACACACTGTGTTGATAATGTTAAGAGAAGGCTGCACACAGAGGGTTATGACTTATGTTCATTACCTTTTAATGCGCAGTACGCTATTAAAATTCCAGTGGTGTTCAGTGGACGAGTCAAACCTACAGAATGTCATTGAGCTTTGACGCCAATTATTTTCTAAACCAGCCATAACATTAGCAATTTTTCAGGTAATAAGCAAGAATAGTGACCTGGTCTTGCACCCAAAAAATTGGTGTCCAAACTTGCATTTGGACCTGAATGGTTATGCAGACTAATTTAGACTTTTCCTTGACTGACCTTTTATATGCTATACTAGCGTACTTGTCCAGAGTTGTTTTACTGCAGGTAGAAAATCTCAGCTTTAGGAAAGTCTTTGTTGCTGCCAAAAGAGGCGGATCAGATCTCTTCAAAAACTGCTGATCTACTGGGACTTTCCCACTCATCTATTACAGAATATAGAGAGAAAGTCCAACGAAGTGAAAATATTCCGTAGGAAACCGTTCTCTGGACAAAAACACATTGTTGATGCCAGAGGCAAAGTAAATGTCAGACTGATAGGAAGGCAACGGGAGCTTAAATAACCACAGATTACAGCCACATCATACAGTGGAAAAACATCTTTAAATCTGCCTGGTTACTGAGGAGCAATGGTTTCTGATTCTATGTTTGTATGGTAGGTTCAGAATTTGGCATAAACACCATGAAGAATGCTCTTTGCCCTGACTCACTGGTCCAGGCTGCTGGTTGTGTAATGATGTATTTTTCTTGGCATATTGTGGACCCCAAGTACCTTCCTGGGTGTTGCTACTGGCAGTGTTCATCTATTCTGTGACCACAGTGCACCATTTTTCAGATAGCTATTTCTAGCAAAATAATATTCCATGTCACAAAGCTCAATCATCTCCAATGGGCTTCTTGGACATGACAGTGTGGTCCAAAAGAACACCCTGGGGATGAAGTGGAACAAGAACAGGACGGAGCAGCTATCCATTTATGTTTACATTTGACCCTGAGTCTGCTCTGCTCCCTCCACCTGCAGTTCACCGCTGCTAAAAATAGCATCACATGAACTGCACATGTCAATAACAATGACTGTCAGTCACTGATAGTTGCTGTAGACAGTGTAGGGAGCGCTGCTTAGTAACTAGCAATTGATTGAATGACTGATTGAATAAACAAATATGTAAAACCCAGACCAGCTGATACCAGACCTTAGTGTCGTCCACCTTTTACCATCACGGCACATCAGGCAACTGGTCCAGCAGCCGTAGTAAAGACTGAGGACAAGTGCTGCTCCAGAGTCAGTTGTTACCAGGGCTGATGGAAATGTGTAGTAACATAGCAACGTTTTCAAAACATATTCACCAAAATTAAAAACTGATACCTAAAAAGCTATTGATCTCACAGTGGCCCAGACTGTAGTCATTTGAAGAAATGGGAAGTAAAAACCTTAAGTAAATACAGTGAGGTGTTTGCTTTTGGAATTTCTAGTTTCTTTCTGATATATATGTATATGTAGCCACCAAAAAATGTTCTCACAAAATGTGCAGCTGAACAACCCTTTCTTAAGTAGCTCCTTACATTAATTTGATTCAAAAGGAAATTATATAATTGATGCGTGATCATAAAGGATTAGTGAAGTGGTACTGTATTGCTTTTTTTTTTTTTTTTTTGCTACATCACAGTCTTTGCTGATTCCTTTTCCCCATTCTTCTCATGCTTATTTTATGATTAGTCTTTATCCGACCCGTGAGTGTTGTTTGGCAAACAGGACAGTGAGGGATAATCCCAGCTGCCACTGGGTGAGAGACAGTAAACATTCTGGACAGTTTCCAGTCCATCACAGTGTCAGTCAGCTTTAACGTCTCCAGGCTTCTCTTGACAGTGGGATAAAAGTAGAATTCACTGACAAACAAAAACCTGCTTTGGCTGTGAAAGAAACTCCCAGATAGGATTTGAAGAGGAGATCTTCTGACCATGGGACAGCAGTACTCAGCACCTCATGACAGATATTTAAAAAGCAAAGTGAATTCATCCAGTCAAAATGAAATGAAGCACTGAGTCGTGAGTTTTTAAAATCGACGACATTTTTCTAGTGGTAAGACTAAGAATCACA